GGTCCAAAATGACTGAAGCAAAATAGTTTAAAGAAACCTTAATCACTGCACACTATCATTAATTGACTAATATCCCCCCCGTTCAGCTGAAATACCACATTCAGCAAACATCAAGCCTCTCATGGTGTTATACAGTACGTTGCTCATTACGTATTCAACTTGAATTGTTGTCTTTGAAGGTACAACACTTTATTCAGCCTTCAGTCCGGCTAATAGCATTGGTATCTGCTTATTTTATTCTAAATATGAATACAAGCAATACAAGTGTGACAATGTATTGTTTGTTACCAAAATCTTAGCTGACAATTGCTCTTGGACGCCAACTACTTTGTTACATGAATTTAAAGTTCTACAAAGTGAGTTAAATATTGATGCACATATATGGACACGGTTCTCATTGACAAACATTGCAAAGTTTTAATGTGACAAGTCCTCAAACAAAGCACAGTTGACCCTTAAACCTGCGAGAGAATGGGAGTAAAATAAATGAGCAATTAGCTAGTTAATTGGGATTTGTTGGCTATGCTTTAAAAAGGTAGATGTATGTAAAATGCCTCCTCTATTTTTTATATATTTTACTTTTCAGCGGTACGTGCTCCATAAACTGATGTTGTTTGATAGATTTGGGTTATGTTTTCTCTGAGGACGGATCTGTTCAGTGGAATACTTTGTCCACTGCCAGCCATCAACTGAGGATTCCTTCTTGTTCTCATGGCTGACAGCTGGTATCGCAGCTTACCTGGTTGGCATTTTACCCCATTTACCTCCTCAGAACGTCTACTGATCTGTCAACCGACCCGTCAATGCTGCCATCTGAACTTCCCTGTTTGCAACTTTATTACAAAGAAAGGTCTCTGGACGAAGCGTCGTACCATCTGTCTCGGACGCCGCGGAAAAAGCGTGCAAAAAGAGCTAATTGACTTTGCTGGCATTGGAGATAAAGTACAGAAACCCTTGAGATGGCAGAGAATCTTTTTGGTTTCCTGTATTCATTTTCTGTGTTCATAGGATGAATCGAAAAAAGCTGATTGGCTAAATTGTGAAAATACCGGGATGGGATTCCCACAAATCGTTCATTAACCGATTGTTCTCTGCCTCCACGCCATCAACGGAGACACGAACGATTTAAAGTTTACCTTCAAAACCATTAACACCATTCTGCAGATTCTTATTCTGACATTGTGACTCCAATTTGTCAACAATGGAACTAAAATTCTTATTATTATACTGACATATCGGGTCTCTTCCTTTAGCTATAAGACGCACAAAGTTAATATATTTGTGCGCGGCACATGTAGCATATTTAAGATAAAGTTAGGCAACTCGATATAGTTATGGTCTGGACCGGGTTTGGTTGGCTAATCACGTCTACAACCGTTGACCAATTTTTCCAAACATGTCAAATCTTTTGACTCAATTATATGATTGACGGTTGCTTAGTATTGCTAATAGCAACTAGCTACTGTGCAATGCTCTCAATACGTGTGCTAAATATTATTCAGAGTAAAGACCAATACATTTGATGGACCTAAACATATTGTTCCATTGTCGCTTGTTGTGTCGAAGTGCGAGTTAACCCAAATCTGCAGTACAGAAACTCCAACGGTCGCGTCTAATAATTTGTCCACCAGGGAGCAGAGGGGCGGTTTGCTTTATTTTTTTACCTAAAATATTACATGAGCTAAAATATACAATGACTAAACTTGTAATAATCCAGGACCACCGAAGACGTTCATTTATTTCCCCTAAGAAGACGTTGCCAGATATTATGCTGTGCACGGCACTTGTGTGGTTTGGATGTCTTTTAAGATGCCATCAGTCACACGTAATGACATCGCAGATGCCCTCCGAGACTGTTATGAAGGACCTTATGAAATAACCCGAAAGGACACCGGTGACTGATTGTTGGTACTAAAGACATATGCTGTTCTTTAATTTCAATCAATAACACGGGTGAAAGTAATAAAACTCTCTCATCCACTTTCTCTCTGTCAGACACCCGTGTCAAAACCACACTGGAACGTCGCATTGTTTAAGGAAAAAACAATGAATAAAATATAAGCGAAAATTGTATTTTTTACATGAATAATGTAAAAGAGGGCACGCTGTTGGCGTCCACGTCTCAAGGTTAGACTATATTGTCAGTTTCCTCCACCCGCCCTGCGCTTTGTTCTGGTTTGGCACAAAATGAGAGGATCCAATTCCATTAAGTTTTCCGTTCCGAGGGACACTTTGCCTCCTCCGCCGGGATGTCTTATTTCAGGACCTTGAAGAGAAAATTCCCGACCCAGCGGGAGGTGCGTTCGTGTCAAGCCGGCGCCATATGGTACGACTTGGAGAGAAACTACGCCGAAACTTTTCACCACAACCTACATCCTTCACTGTCACAATCAGCTGCTTCTTCCCAGGAGGTAAATTAGAGGAGATGAAGAAAGGACTGACACAACATTGATTTGTACGCTCAAACTATTGAAGGGTGACACTTAACTAACGACCGTGTGCTAAATCTGCTCTCCGAGGAAATGTGTGTTTGGTTTGTGACTAGCAATCAAAATCCAGACCAATACATCTAAAAGGTTTGCATTCATCACGTCTTCCTCACTGATGGGCCCACAAGGTCCACGTTGGACAGGTGAACCGCGTCAGGCGGTCGTTCCATTTGTTTTTATGAACAGAACCCCGCGGGGAAAACAAGGAGTGCACCCCGCCGTGAACCTCATGCACGGTGAGAATGAGGACGTCTGTGAGCCTTTTCCCGGCTCCTGTATTGATCGTCTGCTCCGTATTCACAGCATACAGAGAAAAAGAGTAATCAATCATGGTGTTTTGAGGCTCTTTTCGTCAGTCCTATATAGACAATAAAACCTTTCCCTCTCTCTTGAGAGACCTTTCTTATGTTTGATACTTTGGCTCCACCCGAGGCGAATCAAAAACATTGACTCCCAAGTAAAGCTACTTTTTGTGGGATTATGGTTTTTCTTGTCATAGATGCTCTCGCAAGGCAGATTTTTATCTCATTGACTTCTTCTATTTGTTAATCATTATCATAATTGCGCTGATTTACCAATAGTACACTCTCTGTTCACTTGAGAGCAACTGAAAATGTTCCCTTTACGAGTTGATGAGGAGCGCTGGCTGAAGGTCCAATTAGTTTTGGTCTCTTGTTCTCATTCTGGGAAGAGGTGTATGCTAAGACTAGCCTCTTGATCTTGTGAGGCACCAACCTTTGTGGAACACATACGTTGGAGGATCCAGCCTCTGAATTGAGACACACCTACAGCATTTGGACTTCCATACGCTGTTGATGTAGTCTGTTAAACACAAGATCAGTCAGACACATCAAGTAATTGTGTGGTTATTCTGGCTGTACAGTAATGCTCTACTCTTTTGGAAAACTTCACATGATCAGACAACAAAGTCTCCTCTGTGATGTCACTCAGCGATTGTTCAGACTTTCCTTGAATGAAGAGGCTGTTACTAAATGTAGAAGCACGCTGTGGGTTCTAAAACAAACTGAGAATCGCGCATAATAGCATTTTTTATCCCTCACAGAATTGTACATTCAAATAATACCTTGAGTATGAATACACGCTCTATTTCGTTTAGCTGCATGTGAAGTGTCTGGAGATAAATGTGCACATGGCTAGTTATAGTGTGACAATATTTTCCCTAAAGCCAAAGCAAGCCATGAAACCAAAACCCTAAATAATATCACCTACATGAGTCAGAACTATGCCCTAGACTAAACCCTGCAGTTTATGCCAAACTGAATTGTTGTAAAAGCACAAGAACACCGGACAGAGAGACACTCGGCAGCAAGGGCAGCCTCTCAGCCCGCAGTCGGCTTGCAGACATTTTCCAAGCACAAAACAGACTGCACTGAGTCAAGACCTTTTGGAAAGGCACAGGCAATAACATCTGCCGGCTGCAAATGCTCACGTTAGTTTCCCGGCATCTCCGGAGTGAACAAATTCCCCGGAGAGCGGTCGTCACGATCCCAAGCTGCCAACAGCACAGTCAGGTGGTTTCATGTGAGGCGCTTTGGTGTGAAAAGTGAACTCTGCCAGGTGGAAAAGTTCATGCGGCAGACCTGTAGGAATTATTGGATGTTAGTTCAATAAGGGGCTGCCCAGTGAACCAACTCAGTTCAGGTGCAATGCTCATTAAAATTCTTCACTGGACTCATTTCTCATTTGAAAATACAAACTCAACGGGGGGAAAGTGAACTTCTCAGTAATCTAACAGGAGAGAAAAAGCGAATGTCAGTCAAGTGAAGCAAAACTTACACTAATAAGGGTGAAGGTGATTTCAATTTACGTCAGCGTCTCCTTTCTGAACGCAGGTGTTTTAATATCATTACTTATTAAACAGGTGATATTCTTTCTGCTGGGACATGCCATAATGACTGCCGTAAAAATTTTAAAAGATGGGGGATGATAATGCAAACGTGACATTTAGCATGGTGGTGGACATGGGGCTGCCTTAATACCAGTGTTTGGAGAATAACGTCAGAACACCTTTTCTGTCTAATTGGCATGGGTGCCTGGGTTTTTTATTGCTTGACATCCAGCCAGACATATAACATTACTTCCCTCAGTTGTATTTATCAGACAGACATTTCTGCCTTATCCTTACCTCATTTTTTACTTTTTATTTTATGTACATTTATGTAAATATTGTATTCTTATTTTAATTTTAAAATTGGTCGGCTTTCCGGAAAGGCAAGTAGAAGAATTTCAATACACAGGGTGTAAATGACAACCAGTGTTATTCAGAATGTTTGTTCCATTCTTCTCAAAAGTTCCACAAAGGCAAATACGCGTTGACGCGGTTTTATAAAGGAAAATATATAAACGATGATTGATGTATGTCCCTACCTGGTACTTTGGGGTTTTGTTATCAGAGATAATCAGTAGAATTCACCTTCTTCAAAGTATTTGTACTGCCCCTTTAAAAGAAGACCACGCCCACTGCGCATGTGACACAACAAGGAAGCAGAGACGGCGCCGGTGGAGGAAGTTTAAACGTTACGTTGTTACGTCGAACCGAAACAAATCCCACGTGACGCGGTTGGTTCGCCGGTGTGACAAAGACTCGCAGGTAACGCTTCCTGTGACGTCCACGCGGCGCCTCGTCGGGGCGACATGTTGCTTCCGCTCCTCATTGCGACTTTAACCGCCCTGCTTCCAGGCGGGCACGCGGCGCTGCCCCTCGTCATCAACACGTGGCCGTTCAAGAACGCGTCAGCCGCAGGTAAAGAAAAACAACCTGTCTCCGCCAGTTTCATTCCGTCAGTCTCATCGTTGAAAATAATTGACGCAAACGCGCAAGTTGTGTGAGGTGTGAGTATTTAAGGACGCTGATTGGATAGACTTTATGTCACACATTTGTTTAGTGCTTCTTAGACCCGCCCTCTGCTGGCGCCGCCCAATCACAATCACGAAGACAGCACTTGCCGGTAAAGCACATCTTTTGCGCAAATATAATGATTTGCCAATTACTGGATAAATGTCATGCTTCAAAAACACATTTTTTATAATTGTCTCTTTTTGGGGGCTCCAGGAGGACCCCGTTGTCCTCTATTGGACAATTACAACAATATAATATACACACGATTATGATCCATCGATTATTCGGACTGTCGTAAAAGAAAAAACAAACATTTAAGATGACCTTGTGTTTTAGTCAATTGTGAAAAGCATTTTTCATTTTCTGTCACCTTTATTGGCCCCGAAGACCGAGAGTGAGATATGCAAACATTGGAAGGCACCATAACCAATGTTTTTAGGATTCTCCCCTCAGACCATTAACTATTAAAAAGAGCTCAACCCTTGGATGTGCTACAGCATCACTTTGTGGACAGTTTTACAGGAAACGGGCAGAAGTCGGCTTCATAACTGCCGCTGCCAGGTCTGCTCTAACTATTTGATTTCCTACAGGATGATCCATTGGACATGTCCAAATTGAAAACTTGAAAATCGTGTGAGTTATCTGTCAAGTCCACCGGCTGCACAACCCAACGCGAAAAATAAATGATAGAAACGGTGCTCGAAAAAATCTCAAGACGGCGTCATCAATACCTGCAGGTGATTAAAGTTACCCCAAAAATCTCACCATTTGATAGATGGATAGCCTTTAATTCATCAGATGTGCATCGCCTGCTTTCCCCCCCCCCGAGGCAGGTATGAAAATTAAAAAATGCTATCTGTTCCGTGTGTAGATATTCAAAAGTGTATCTGTGAGCCCCCGTTGAGCCGCCAATGCAGATCCCTTTTCCTCAGGGGGCTTACGGAAGCAGCTGAGAACAGCAGGCTAATCTCCTCCTCCATTCTGCCTCGTGTAAAGGATTGTAATGCTGAGTTTAATATGCAAAAAAAAAAAGAATTAAATCCTGAGACAAGAGCACTTGCTAAAGATGGTAGACGGACAGAGTTTATGGATGGATGGATCGTAAATGAGAAGAGGATGAGTTGGCGGCGGCGGCGTCCCGCTGAAACACGGTGTTGGTGGTCTGAGATTTCCGAGGCAAGCTGGTGACAGTTCTGCCAGTTGGTGTTTTGATCCCCGTGAGCCCTCAGGGGATCAGTGACCAAATGCTCGTCAGCTCCCATTCCTCTCATCAGGATTCCCACGTACTGGTCACCTCGCGCATCGTCTCGATATGCTTGTTAACGTTCAGCCTTTTTATTTGCAATAACAGTTCGGCACAAATTCCAATTCTCATTTAGGTTTTGAGGTCCTTGAATACACATTTTACATGTTTAACATAATTTAAAATCATCACAATCTCCCAAGTAAGCGTGGCTATTGTTGTCATTTTTTAAAGGCTGATAAACCGTGACTTTACATACCTCAACACGCTCAAATGAATCAAAAATATCTGCTAAATGTGTTTTCTGGTATCAGATCGTTTGAAATTAGCTGTCAAAATTGCAGTAAACCAGATGTAGTTCACACGTCTCCGCTCAGGACTCAAGCGTTCCTTCTCCGCCGGCCTGCGTGGAACCGATCGTACCGGGCAGCCGGAGTTCGCCTCGCCGCCACGTGACCAGTGACCCTTCCTGTCCCCGGGGTGCGATGTCCGCCCCGTAGTCGGCGGCTGGCTCAATGTCTCACTGTGCTCTCGTGTGGCGCTGCAGCGTGGAGCGCCCTGCGGTCCGGCGGCTCGGCGCTGGACGCGGTGGAGGAGGGCTGCGCCCGCTGCCAGGCGGAGCAGTGCGATGGCACCGTGGGCTACGGCGGCAGCCCGGACGAGTCCGGGGAGACCACGCTGGACGCCATGATCATCGACGGGTAAAGCGTGCACTTAAAAATAGGAAATGAAGAAGCAGTCGATTTTAAGAGGAGAGTTGACAAATATGCACATGGCTGCTGGAACAGCTGTTTTTATCTAACAGCCATTTGTGACACTTGAAAGCAGCCGAGTGAAACCACACAAGCCCGGTTATTCCTGCAAAAGTCTCCTGCACTACAAAACTTTAAAAAAACAACAACACATGAGATGGATTAAACTTAAATGATTATATTGAGCTTGGTGCTATTTATCTATTTCTTATTTTACATTTCACATTTAAAGCAGTTACTGTTTGGCCTTTCCAGCCGGCCTCTTTAATTCTGCCCTAAGTAAGATTATCATAATGATCTGAAAGCTTGCCAGGTATTAAATTCATAACTGCAAACGAGTACTCATTCAGAAGATGCCGCCGGAGGCTCGTTTTACCGTTTGCTGTCACCGTATGTGGAACGCTGCCTCTCACATTTGGCATAGTCATGAATACATTGCGGGAGGACGGTAGTCTGCGGCACACTATCAATAGAGCTGCATAAGAATCGCAGGCGGACACACACGGAGCGGAGGAATCGAAACATCGGTACAGTTAAATCGAATCCAATGGACCAGCGCTGCCCGTAATTATGAGCCCCGTAATAAATTCGAACTGTTATGTTCAATTTTTGATCTCGTGTCTGGGAGACATCTCCACCCAAAGGCAACATGGAGGCTTTGGTTTATTGTGGTGAATAAATATTCAAAACCCCTCCACGATGCAATTAATTTCATCAGCACAACACGTTGCAGCACCACAGGTTTAAGGGATAGTAGTCGTGTTTTCCACAAAGCATTTCTACATCCCGCTGTAAAGAGGGTTTCTATTCTTCTCTACAGTTATCCTAAATATAGTAATGTGATCTTATATGAATGCATTTATTTCAGCCGGTAAACCAGAAGCTCTCTCGCTCACCAGGGACACGATGCAGGCGGGCGCGGTCGGAGACCTGAGGAGAATCAAGGACGCCATCGGCGTCGCGAGAGCCGTGATGGAGCACACGGAGCACACGCTGCTGGTCGGCGAGTCGGGTACGTGACGATCGCCATGCACAGTGGTGAAGAAACGCACGGAAACGCAACATGCCAAGAGACGTATTCAAACGTGTGTGACGTGAACTGACCAACAGAGTTTAAAGGAGGCTTTGATATTTGGATTTGCATACTTTTAAGAAGCAGTGGAGTAATCTTTGATCCGTGGAGCCCGAACATCAGACGGCAGCGCTCGATGCGCGGCCTTCAGTTTTAATTCTTCAGGGGAGCAGTAAAATAATAACAGGGGAGCAGCTCACTTAGAAGCAACATTTCACTTCAGTGTAACAGATGACTTGTAAACCAAATAAAATAACTCATAAATCCCACCCAGCCTCCCACTGCCTGAACCAGTTCATTAATTCACATATGCATCCTTATGGAAACAGAATGCTTACAGGAACGTCGAGGTCGCTGCCGCTGAGGGCAGCGGCCGTGCGCGACACGGCGAATCCTGAAATGAGATTAGGTGGCCTCCAGCCGCCGCCCTTTGTTTTCTTGTAAGCACAAGGTCAGTGTGGACCAGACTGTGTGACTTCACCTGAAAGTATTACTTCTCTCTTTATAGCCTCCGTGTTTGCTGAAAACATGGGCTTCATCGCAGAAGACCTGACCACCAACAGATCTGTGAATATTCTCTCCCAGTGGCTGAAGGGCAACTGCCAACCTAATTATAGAAAGGTGTGTGTGTGTGTCTGTGTAATAGTGTGTGTGTCTTTCTCGCTCGTATCGACGACCGGCGTGCTGCTTCTGAAAGATTGATAAGCAGAAGGAGTTCATAAAAAGGTCTGCTTTTGTGGTTGGGGGGGTGATGCCCTACAGCGCCGAGTGGTTTTCTATCCTTTAAAATAAACCTCCTCAATAACGCCCCGAAAGCTCCACAATGTGATTCCTTTTAGTTCTTCTTCTTCGCTCGGGCCGTTATTGCTCCACAAACCAAATCCATCGCCGCCTCCCCCTCACTTGGGGCGGCTCGGCCTGAGGACCCGAGGTGATTCACTGCTCCGCGTGGGAGGCCGGCGCTGCGTTGAAGGTCAATCCCCGATGGGGGGGGTGTGTGGAGGAGAAGCGCAGCACCTCTACCTCCCAGGGTTGGGCCGACTGTTCACACTCTATTTAGCGAGCGCGTTACGAGGTGTACAGAAGGGGGGGGGGGGTACCAGGTTCTGGTGTCCATACGTCGGATGCATTCAGTATTTTCACTTCTTGACTGTTGCTGAGGTCAAAAACTGCTCTTCTGTTCTTTGAAACTAAACTAAAGAGAAAGGTTTTTCCTGGTGGAATGTTGTAGACTTTTGCTCCATGAATTATGCACAGGCTTTTCCACGAAGCAGACTCGGTTTATTCAACGCCCTTCGTGTTTTCTCTCCCGTCAAAAAGAACGTGTTTCCAGATCCGTCCCGGTCCTGTGGACCCTACAAGCCCAGGGCGGCCGCGAGGCCGAGCGAGAGGGCGCGGCACGCCACCGCGCGCTCCCACGACACCATAGGTAGGTCTCACCCGACGGCGCCAAGCGAAGCCGGCTCTCCCCCCCCGAGCGTCTTCTACAATGTGCCAAAGGGAGGTCAGGCGGGCCGACTGAAGTACGGAAGCGGAGGTCAGCAGGGAGCAGCTCAGCTCCTGAGATCTTTGTTCCGGTCGAAACATTTTTAGAACTTTGTTTTATCTCCAGGTCCAGACTCGTGTTTCGCGGCTGCTGCTCTGCAGTGTTTTCATGCTTTGATGTTCTCGCGCGACCCGGGTTCACCCTCCTTTTCAAACGCTTCACTTTGGCGCCGGCGTCTTTAAGACCCCCCCCCCCCCCACCCCCCTTTGGAGGAAAGTTCTGCCCGCTCTTGATGTGCTTGTGAACATGAGGTCCGTTGGCAAAGGGAGCACTCTAGCCGGGTGCGGCGTTCTAAAGAGCCTGCCGCGGGAGGGGGAGGGATCTAATCACGTCTTCTCGTCCAGTCGGCTTCTATTTTTCGGTTGTCGGTTCCAAAAAGAACACAAGCCGTGAAAACCGCAATGAAAAACCTTTCATTATGAAGTCATGTGATCTGAGCTGTGATCAGGACACCCGGAGTCATTGGGAGTTTAATATTACGCTGTCAGAACGCTTCAGCAGAATGAGGGCGGCCTCAAATCTTCATTTTTGAAAAGTTTGAAATTAATATCAAAATATTTATGATTTAAATCACGATTGATAAGATACAAAACGCACATCTTTTTCTCAGTAAGTATTATTGGAACAATTCTAGCGGCGCATTAGTTATGTGAAACATTAAATGATGAAGCACAAACAATTTAAACGAACCGATTAATAAGACGATGAGGCTCCCGCTCGACGCGGCTGCTCTTGTCCGCCTGTCGTTATTCAACAAAAGGCGCCGCAAACGGGGCGCCGTCTTGTAGTATTAAAGTAAATGCACACGAGCTCCGGAGAGAGAATTAATCGGTTAAATTCCTAAGGTCATTTAATCATCCCTATTTTATGTTTTGATCAGAGTTGTGATTAAAGTTTCGGGGCCCCGCTGAGCTAAAGGATGAGACTTCTTTTCTGCTTCTTTGGCACCAGGAATGGTGGCTCTTGATCGAGACGGTCACGCGGCTGCCGCTACGTCGACCAATGGACTCGCTCACAAAGTTCCCGGGTATGTAGTTGCATATTCTATAAAGGATGTTACCTAAGCACATTTGATAGATCCTTCATGGAACGGCATCGCTCGTGTGTGTGTGTGTGCTTAAGATTCAGGGATCTATCCTCCGCGTTTGGAGGAACTGTTTAATAAAAGGTTTTTGTCTGCGTGTGCTTAAACCCTGTTGACGTTCCCGTAGTCGCGTCGGGGACTCCCCCATCGTCGGGGCGGGGGCCTACGCAGACAGCTCGGCTGGTGGCGCTGCTGCTACCGGAGACGGAGACATCATGATGCGCTTCCTGCCGAGGTATCCCGCCGTTTGGTTGGAAACGTACACACAGGGTACCTTCCCGTCGTCAATCTGAATTTATCTCGACGGACCAGGGGAGTCGACGGGGGCTCCTCTTTGGCGACGGGAACTATCAAAGGCTATTGGCAGCTGTTTCACAGGCAGCAGATTTCTGCAAAAAAGTGCACCAACACTCGTACGAACGGGTGGGGGTGTGACTGCATTGCCCCCAAACTGTCACGCGTACGTTGCGCAAAATCAGGGATATTTTTCTGGAGAGTTAAAGCTCTGAAAAGTTGCTGTTTATTGATCTGTGGTAGTTTGCTTTAAAGTTGCGCCGAGCTTTCACGCACACAGCAGCGCACCCGTTGCCTGTTTCGCTCACAGCTTTCCGATTCGCGTCCCGGAACGATTGGGGGGGGGGGGGTTACGTGTGAACTGAACTGTGCATGTCATTCATTCTTCATGCCAAACACCGCTTTGGGAGGTCTGATGCAGCAGTAATGCGCCTGCACAGCAGGCCGTGTTAAAGTCTGATTTTACTCCTCCTGACACGCTGGATGTCTAGTGTGGGAATTAACACCAAAGATGTAGACGTCCTGGCTCAGGGACGAATACCGTTTAATACATTTTCCCTCTTTAAAACAAAGTTCACGACCCCCATATTGTCTCTGCAGAGAGACCATAATTAGGTTCGCAGTGACGCTCGACTTTCTACCTCTTGAGTAACTGAAAAAAGAAACTCATTTTCTTTATATTGATTTGTATCAGATTTATCCAACACCATAACTGCGAGTGCGTCACCATCATCATCATCCTGGTTGGTGGCCCTGACGGCTCTCGTTAGCTCGCCTCATGTGTACAGCGTGTAACTCTGCCAACAGTTTCTTGGCCGTGGAGCTGATGAGGGCCGGGGCAGATCCCTCTGCAGCCTGCGAGGCGGCCATTTCCAGGATCAGGAGGCATTACTCCGGCTTCTTTGGTGCCATCATCTGTGCGAACACGACGGGCCATTATGGTGAGTGTCGAGGTTCCCGAGACACGCGCGCATCGAATTCAAACCATTTACAAGAATCTCCGTTGTATAAAAGGATTAAACGTATATCGGGCTGCTGCTTTAAGTGGTCGTCATATATTATTTCTGAAACGCGCTGTAAGAATATCGCCATCATGCGGCGTTATAAACTGATCAAACTTTATTATATTTAGAAAGTAAAAGTGTCTTTCTTGTCTTTTTACTCCTAAAAGGTGCCGCCTGTAACAAAGTGCCCGGCTTCTCCCAGTTTCACTACATGGTGTCGGACTCAGAGTCCGGCTCACCTCTTCTAAAATCTGTGGACTGCATTTAAAAGCTCCTATCAGTGTGTGCATCTCTTTCGGGTTCTTCAAAAGAATAAACTCTCACAATACTGTATTTTTGGACCTGTTTTATTGAAGAATATAAAGCAATTTAAAAGAAACGTCCCAGGGCATTTTAATTAGTTCGGCTTTTACTTTCTGCTACTGTTTTTATTCTATATTTATTCATCAGTCTCCTGAGACCTTTTTGAAAGACGAACACAATGGACCATTTTTTGTAACAAACAAGCAGTTGGGCACAAAGAGGTTTGATAGTTAACAGCCAGGGAGTGTTGAGACCCCCGGTCCATCCTCTGCCCACTGGAACAAGTCGCACTGTTTGCCCTTTACAAAGCTGCAAACGTAGAAGTTCCGCCCGTTGTTGGGTCCCAGTTTCAGAACCGTCCTCATTACGCAGCGTTTCCCGTGGCGACAGAGAGGGAAGTGCAGGTCCGCCCACTGCGACAGAGGAAAGAGCTTTGTTAGATTTCCCCGGCTACGTACCGGCGCAGAGAGGAGCTGCTCTCCATATTCACCTCGAAGAAGTTGCACTTGGTTTCTCTGGGAAGCGAGCAGGCGTAGAACTGGCGGCCCTTGTTGTCCCCGTCCTTGTGGACCACTCTGAGGGCGGCTGGACGGCGATGGGACGCACAACAAGGGGCGCTGGAAGACGCGGAGGGGGGCCGCCGGCTGGGGGCTTCCGCTTTGCTGACAGCAGAGAAGGAAAGTCTTATTATTGTGAGACGGAGAACACAACACGTCTCATTAGCGAGCAAGCCGGCGCCGCTCGCGCTGCGGCTGCTCCTCAATCTCCGCACTTTTTATTCACCAAATGTTGCATTACTATTCCACAGTGAGAGGCTTTTTTTATCTCACTTATCTCCCTGAGGTTGCAAAAAAACTTCCTATTATAAACTTATTCATGAAAAACCAAGCGAGGAGACTCACTCACCGCGCGTTGGGCGCCGCGTCTTGAGCATTGTTACCGGCAAAGGGGCTGTGATCAATTCTCATTTTCTTGGATGGGTGACTGTAGGAGGCCAGCGATTCCCCATCGGAGGGCTCGGCGCTTTGCCTCTGCCAGCCACCAGAGGCGTAATTGGGGCTCGCCGTCCCCCGGCGGATGCTGTATTTATATGAACCTCGCTCTGCCGCCAAGGAATTCAAAGGACTGCCGGCTGGGGACAGCGGGGAGTTTGCGGGCTTCGGCTTCTTGCTCAAGTCGGAGAAAACCAGGGTGGAAGTCCCGAGCACGGACCTCCAGTTGACCTTGAGCTCCTCCTGTGGCTTCCTGAAGGCAGTGCAGGGGTGTTTAATCAAATCGCTGGTGAAGTGCGACGCCTCGGGGTTAATGTCATCTTTGTGGACTGCGGAGCCGGAGAGAGAGAGAGAGAGGGAAGCACATCGCATGTTCAGCCGCACATAAAACGCAGGTGCTCGTCTTGCTATAAAATGTACCATTAAGCGGCAGACGGCCGTGTCCTCAAATAAAACGTCTCGCTGAAGAGGCGCTCGTGCTAAATTGTGTTGATGTTTCCAGTAACGGGGAGCTACGACATCAGAATCATCAGTAGACTGTGGTTAAGGGTTACCCCTCGTCTCCCACGGCAACCACCGATGTGCCCCAGAGCAGGGCACTTACCTAACAGCTGTTCTAGTGAAGCATCTCATTATATAACATCTCATGTAACCACGGGAGAAAATCTAAACATTTGAGGCAACTTGGGGACGGAAATGTGTAGTTGTGTCTGTCACATCCACACATTTAAGTGTCAAACTCACATGGCCACAGGTGCAGTGACTGTACAAAAGGTACGAAAGATGTCAGAATATGCCAGGACAAAAAATGTCAGGGACAAAAAGCCGACCGTTAAAGAAAAGTGTGGTTTAAATCAAAAATGTGGCAGTGTGACCTCCCCATTCCCCTCAGAAAAAAAGTAAATCGTTCAGCTGTGCATCCGAGAGACAGCGGGGACATTTCCTTCACACACTGATTCCCTGCTGCCATCATCCCATCACAGTCAGAGAAAAGTGGCCACTGACACACACACACACACACACACACACACACACACACACACACACACACACACACACACACACACACACACACAGCATCATTCATGGGTCACTCGGCTGAACAGAACAACCACAGCTACTACGGTTTGATTTCTTGCTAACAAGCGCCTTCTGCCCCCCCTCCACCCCCCCCATTAAAGCCAGCGAGTGTACCGACGTGTCACTCACCCTCGGCCCTCGCAGTGAGGCAGGCGTCGCAGGCCCTCGCCGCCGGCTGGTTGATGAGCGTGCAGAGCTGACAGGCCCAGTCCTCCTCCCCCTCCTCCCCCCCCCGCGTGGCCGCGCTGTGATTGGCGGGCTCGCGGCCGGCCCAGCGGATCAGGCTGTTCCTGCCTGGGAGCTTGCTGGGGAAGAGAGAACGGTGTGAGATAACCCGCTGAAGCCCGGCGTCCTAACCGAGGCCAAATGGCGTCGCTGTGTCTCTGCATCGGGAAGACCGGGACACACACTCGTCCTCACTCGATGGGAGGAGACAAGAGGTTTGCCACAGGGATTATTATCATTAAGAGCAATTCAAATGTGTTCTATACACAATATTTGCCAATACAGGAAAAGAGAAGCGGTAACTTTAACTTTACAAACATTTCCAGAGGATGAAGATTTGCGACAAGCAAAAGGGCTTCACATAATTGCTCCGAGCTTAGACGTTGCCGCTCCGACATGAAGCTCCACCGTGTTTGACAAGAAGGCAAATCTTGGATGCCGACTGTCGGCGGGGAGGAAAACAGCGGCGGCTTTCAGGAAACTTTCCTCACAGATTGCTCCGTCAGCTGTGTGATGCGATGTAAGGGCTTTAGGCTGCAACCCCTCGCAAAGCTTTGCTCAAATACGGCCCAGGAGGTGTTGAGCCTGCGCCCTGTCTGGCAAACACAGCCTTATATGCGCATTAATTCCCGCTTCCCCCGCCACACAACACCTCCCACTCCCTGCCAAGCCCATCTGCCTGCAAAGATGGCCCCGCTAAATTTGAGCGTAATATCTCAAAGGCTTTTAGAACTTTCTGCAAAGACCAGGTTTTTGAACAAGTGACACGCGCCGTTGCCTCTTGGTATCGGACCAAAAATCATCCAACTGTGTCTCGTTCACAGCAAAGTGAACCCACTAAATGTCGTGTAATTCTCTTTTTGTCTTGCTCACATCCTTGGCGTGAAATACCTCAGACCGAGCTCCAACGGCACAGCGGCTACCAGAATGCGAGACCACATCTTCTCAGGCCGAATGTCGGCGGCTTTGTACCTGACTTCGACCCCGCTGGGATCCCCCTTCTGACAGCTCCCGCAGAAGTAAGTCATCCTGCCGTTGTCTCCAAGGCGACAGACTGTGACGACGTGGGCGCACTGGCCGCACTGGGGACGCTTGTAGACTTTGTAATGTTTGTAGAGAGGGGAGCCAGATTTGCGACACTGATGAAGATGAAAGAGGCAAAAGAGAGCGAAGAGGAAAAAAAGATGAGGATAAAGAGCACCACAATAAAAGCATTCGCCTCCCCTCGGGTTATCGATTACGCATGGACAGCAATACGCTTTTTCGCTCTTCTCCAGGCACTGGGGTGTTGGCGTTGCCTCTCATCCTCTGCAACTGTACAGAGCGACCCTCTGAACCTCGCTCTGCCACGGACGCAGGGACGTCTAACCTTGTAGAAGAGCAGAGTGAAATCCCGCGTCATCTTCACCAAGTGGTGCAGCTGCTCGTCCGTCAGCTGGTCGACCTGGAGCAGGCAGGAAAACGGGTCACGGGTGAAAAAGGTTGAGAAGGATATTACCCCTCTAGGGCAGGGGTTTTCAACTGGTTTTGTCCCAGCGATTTATTAGTCATTCGTTGACGGGGGGGTTAGCGGTAGCGTTAGCTAATCTTTTCCCACAGCCTTAGCTAGCTGGCCAACGCCGCGTTCTCTCCATTCATCAAGCTGTAGCTAACGTTAGCTAAGTCTATGTCAACCAAGCTCCTGGGTAACTTTACTTGGATGTACCAGAAAAGATTCAAACCATCACTCACCCTGTTTGCAATTCACTGAATATGAATACCCCCCCCCAAAAAAACTCATCGAATCTACACGATTCACGTAGGTCACCTATTTTGGTTTCAAAACGGCGAATTTCGTCGAAAGGTGAGGGATTTTCATGCCTGCTGGAGGAGCGCGCAGAGAGAGCAAAGCTCTTCATTTCAACACGGGGACGAAAGGCGCTTCGCAGTCAGCGAATCAATAAAACAAGCAGTTAAACGGCAAAAAACAAACCAGACATTGGAAATGATGCTGCAGAGAAACGCGACATACAACGTGTGAGTAGAGAAGGAAAATCAATAAAAAAGCACGCAAACATTCGCCACTTGAAGCTTTTTGGCGGCTCGATAAAACTCGCAGAGAAGAAGGAGCCAAAAGTCCTGGTTTAACGTTTTGGCCCAGAAGCCGACCCCCCGGTCATAGTGGTGTAATAGCACTATTCAGGCCTCAACGGGTCTCAACTGGGTCACAAAAGAGATTAAATCACTCTTTCTTTGGGTTGCTGGTTGATGAAAGTACTTCCTGAGTGAATTGTGAAGCATCGTAAGTAAAAAATATTAATATCACGTTTTTTGACGAGCCTGTGAGTTAAAAAACCCCCAAAAAAAACAATTTAAATCTCGGCAAACATTCATGAAAATAATATGAAAAATATCCACATTTCAGAAGCGGCACAGGTTGTGATCTACAGTTTTACTCTTCTTTTGTTCCTCTGCCGACCACGATCCGCCGTGTCTCCCGTACCTTCACGGCTGGCTGGAGGCCCGAGTCGAACAGCGCCTCGTTTTTAATGATGTTGCCGACTCCCGGCATGACGGCCTGGTCGAGGAGGACGTCGCACAGCATCCTGCCGCCCCGCCTCCTCACCGCCGCCACCGAGCGCGAGAAGCTGAACTTGGGGGAGCACACGTCCAGACTCTCCAAGGCCCTCACCCGGTGCTCGCAGTCCTCCGTCGACCTGCGGACACGGACGTTTTTTTTTTCAAGCAGCGGTGGGCGCCGTCACTGTGGGACACGCCCACCGAATGAGACTCGGGCTCCACGCCGGTGTCCCCCCGTTACCTTATTTCCACCGTGCTGTCAAAGAAGCACACGGTGTCGTTAGTCAGGTGTATTTGCAGCACCGGCGTGCGGCCGGTCCTCTCCTTCCTCTCGGCGGGGTTTATGCGCATCGATCCATTCATCCCGAAATGGACCCTTAAGGACGCCACCGTGAAAGCAAACGAAGGGAAGAAAAGGCAACTCAGCAGGTCTCATTTTGCACTGAGGACTAAACACAACGACACAAAGGAGGCCCGGCGGTCGGAGACAGAAACGACTCAGAATATATACAATGGTTTTTGAGTCACTGGATTAACCAAAAACAGACGAGTCTCACTTCTCAACTGAGTAACCTTAGTCTGTGTTATTAGTCGGTGATATTCGGAGCCATTTGGCCCGATCACACGACCTCCCTTTCCTCCACACAGATGGATCGACCACGATGAACCGATTCCTCCGTCTCCTTATTTCTGTCACCGCCTCCTGCTGCCGACTGATGACCACCTTCCACACAATCTAACTAGTATACCAACTAATATACCGAGTAGTATACTAGTCCTGATCCTCACCACCTTCCACACAATTTGGCCCACCACACAAAACTAGTATACCAGTCCCACCTTCCCACACAATCTAACTAGTATACCGAGTAGTATAACTAGTCCTGATCCTCCCCACCTTCCACACAATCTAACTAGTATACCAACTAGTATACCGAGTAGTAAACTAGTCCTGATCCTCACCACCTTCCACACAATCTGGTACACCACACAAACTAGTATACCAGTCCACCTTCCACACAATCTAACTAGTATACCGAGTAGTATACTAGTCCTGATCCTCACCACCTTCCACACAATCTAACTAGTATACCAACTAGTATACCGAGTAGTAAACTAGTCCTGATCCTCACCACCTTCCACACAATCTGGTACACCACACAAACTAGTATACCAACTAGTCCACCTTCCACACAATCTAACTAGTATACCAACTAGTATACCAAGTAGTATACTAGTCCTGATCCTCACCACCTTCCACACAATCTAACTAGTATACCAACTAGTATACAGAGTAGTATACTAGTCCTGATCCTCACCACCTTCCACCTGGATCCTTTACTGACAATCTAACTGGTATCCTAACTAGTATACCGAGTAGTATCCTTTACTAAGAATCTAACTAGTATACTACCTACCTAACTAGCTAGCATATCAACTAGTCAGTGTACTGACTGGTCTAGTAACTAGGATGCTGGCTCGGGTGTTGGAGAGCGCACCAGGTGACAGGGGACGTGAATCCGTTACCTCAACGATCGGGGACCGAAGTACATGAAGAGCTCCTTGCCCACCGTGTGCACACCGGTGTACGGACACCCGACGAAGCCGCGGAAGGCGTTGCCCGCCGGGTTGTTCGTCTGTGGGGAGAACGGGGAGGGTGAAGTGCTCGTCGGTAGAAGGGGAACACGAACCCGCGGGTGTGATGGTGTCGTCACGTTAACTCACGGTGGATGTGGTCAAACTGCCGCTGCTTTCCTTCCATTTCTGCCCCGTCTGGACTCTGGAGCGGATCTTCTCTCCGTTCAACGTGCAGCCCGGACCTTCAACCATCGTCCAGGTCAGACTTTGTATCTCATTACGCGGTAAAAAAAAAAAAAAAAAGAAAACTGTCCCGGTCGGATTGAAAAATGAAGGTTTGTTGTCGCTTCGATTCACCGCCAATTATTCAATTTCCGCGCATGCGCTGTGCGCTTTGTTTCCGGAAGTAACGTTAGGCGTCACGTGCATACGTCCTGACAAGTCCAGACGGAGACATTTCCATTATATTACAGCCCTGTGTAATTGGGAAGGATAAAGAAACTGGGGAGGAAATCACAATAAATAGAGTCATAGTGAAAAAAGGAGGGAGAGAAGCATGAGAGATTCAGATGAAATAGAAGTTGGTGCCGTCAAATGACTTTCTGGCTGAATGTCAAGGACTGGGTTTTCCACAATCTGCTCCAACTAAATTCGGACAAAACTGGGATAATTCAGGGAGAAGAAAAGCTTGAATGACTTCAGTCTGTCCTTCTCTGTTTTTACCGCATGCAGCCCTCATCTCGTTGTCTCCCTCTCTTAATCTCCCTCTTCCTCTCTGTTCCTGCTCTCTACTCCCTCTTTTTTGTCTCTTCATTCCACAGACCAGGTGTTGGCTGATGTTTTGGGGAAGAGTTACCTTGAGTGACTTGCCTGTGTTCTTCTGGACTTCCGCGTAGGGAAGTAAAGTAGTTTGCAAGTAGGCAAGTAGCTTGGCTTGTACATCGTCATGATCACATAGATGATTAATGATGAATATCTCACTTTGTTCAACACATTTGTCACTTGGTCTGCCATAAAATGGGTTTCAGCAACACTATTTTAAAGTTAAATGTCATGTAATTCTGCGTTGCAGAGCGAGCATTTTCTGTAAACTGATATTTCAGGCTTCCTGGCTTTATTCACGGGGTCAGAACTGCGTTTATTTCCAAAACGTCTGAAGATAAGGCAAAGGGAGGGATGTGAAAGTGTCGCCGTGACTCGGCAGCACTCATCCTGAAGAGCCTCACGGGCAAAGCTGAGGGACGACAGACTTGTAGAGACAAGTCGCCGACTTACATTTGTAGCAGCTTTAATCGATGGTGTCATGGGTAAAATGTAAGAAATTGACATTTGAACAGAAAGACTCGCTCATTTCCTTCCTCTTCTCTTTTCTTCAACCCTCGTGTTTAGTGGCTTTGTGATTAGTTAAAACACGGGATTAAATAAGTAATATGCGATAGATGCAAATGCAAAGTAAGTTTACAACAATGCTGATGTGACCAGCTCCAGAGTTCAGCAGTCTCATGGCCTGTGGGGGGAAGCCGTCCCTGAGCCTGGTGGAGGTGGGGGGGGGATGCTGTAGATCTGCCATACGGCATTAGGCAGAACAGTTTGAGCCTGGGGTGGTTTGGAGAGAAAAGGAGAGGTTTTGAGGTGTGTTATTACTACATAAATTAGAGTGGATCAGATAGAACCACCATCCACAGAAGCCTGTGGGGAGGGAGAGCACAGAGACTTTAGGAGAGGGTTATGTTGGTTTACGAGTACAGTAATATGATTAATATCTAAAATAATAATAATGATGATGATGGCAGCAGCAGGCGCCAGCATGGCCACGGCAGGTGTCAGGACCAGGGTCCAGAAGGAACCACGATCTACAGAGACCTGCTAGGGGAAAAAGCACAAAAAAACTCCCGGAAAGAAGCTGAATTAGTCATGTGCATTAATAAAACGTGAATTATGGTAGAACGAGAGCGTGAGAGAGGAGCTCGGTGTGTCCTAAGAAGTCCCCCGGCAGTCTAAGCCTATAGCAGCTTAACTAAGGGCTGGTCCGGACTAACCTGAGCCAGCCCTAACTATAGGCAGAATCAAAGAGGAACGTTTTAAGTTTTACTTTGAAAGAGCTGACGGAATCTGCCCCCCGGACTGAAAGTGGAACCTGGTTCCACAAAAGAGGAGCTTGATAACTGAAGGCTGTGGCCCCCAGCCTACTTTTTAAAACCCTAGGAACAACAAGTAACCAGCATCTATGGAGCGCAGTTGCCTTGTAGGACAATAAGGTGTTACAAGCTCTTTAAGATACGATGCAAGGGCCTCGTAGGTGAGGAGAAGTACCTTAAAATCTATTCTTGATTTAACAGGGAGCCGGTGCAGAGAAGTTAATACAGGAGTGATATTATCCCTTTTCTTAGTTCTTGTTAATACACGTGCTGCAGCATTCTGAATCAACCTAAGAGGCTTAAGAGATTTACAAGAGCAGCCTGATAACAAAGAATTACAGTAGTTCAGTCTGGAAGTGACAAACGCATGACGCATTTTGATATGTTACGTAGATGAAAATTGGCAGCTCTTGAAGTCTTCTTTATATTTGAAGGTCATATCCTGGTCGAAGAGAACTCCCAGATTCCTCACGGTGCTGCTGGGTACCAGAGCAATTCCATCCATAAAATCATCCATCAGTGCTAAAGGTGCTTTCTCTTTTGACCTTCTTCTGGTATGATTCAAAGCAACTGGGATGCATTTGCATGCTCGTCTCAGTTAGGGCTGGTGAAAAAGCCGTCAATCAGACTGTGGTGCACACTTAACAACTGGTGTGTTTTGTTTGTTGCGCGAGGCCAATGTAGTCCTAATGAAACATCGCAACCATGACAATCTGGAGGTTGCAGTTTCAACTAATTTCTTTACGAGCTCTTGGTGACACCAGAGAAGGTGACAGCTGGGAACAGATTCTCCGTTTGTGTGTTGAGTCAAATATCTCAAGTGTGTGTGTGTAACACGTTGTGTAGTACGGGCTGCAGTTTGACATGATCACCCGGTGGATGTTAAACGATACGCCCTGGACTCCGATGGCCGCGTCGCAAAAGCACCCGTCCAGCCGGAGGACATTGAAGTTGTCACCCATGCTGACTTTCTAAGCAGGAGGGTTTTGCGGTCGTTGGCTTGTCTTGTGGATCTCTACTGGTCTTCTGAAAGATTTTTCATTAAAAATGTTGTTCTGTTTGGCATATAATCCACACGGTAAACGGTGCAATATTTACTTTTGACAGAAGCTTATTAATTGAACAGTGAACATTGTGTTTTTCTTCTTTAACTCCCAGTTTTATTATGGGTCAACCAGTAGTCCCTAGCTACTTAATAACTATAGTTATCAGGTGCCAATAATCCAGTCTTGGATTCAAGAGTGGGAGCAATGTGTCGTCTGTCCACTTGAGGGCGCTGGCGCACTATTAATGGCGACTAATGTGCACGCAAAGAAGATTTAACCTACAATATACTGTATATACACAGAAAGATAGGTGATAGGTCGATAGACAGACAGACAGGCAGACAGACAGGCAGGCAGTAAGACAGATATTTTACTTCACATTACATGTTGCATTCAAGTTCCTTAAAATTGTCCCTGATGTGTCTCCCTTCCTGCAACCATTACACCCCGACCCCAGGTGCTTTTCAACGGCCAGACATGAACCACTTGGTCCGGTCATACAACCTCCAATTGCTCCACCAGGGTGTCCCATCTGGCTGAAGAAAAGAAGAAAAAGAAAAACATGAATTGGAATTTTCATTATTGTCAAAAGATTTTCTGCACGGATTGCCTACAATCAAATGTTTTTATTGCAACAACTTGTTTGCTCTGCAGTTTCACCACCCAGAAGCCCTTATGGGGCCAAGATTAAAAAAAGGGATATATTGCATGTTCTCCAGCCAAGTGTACAGCCATGCCCCCCTTAAAAAAAGGCTGCTCAGCAGTAACGTGTATTAACATCTGAAGCCTGCTCTCTTACATTAGCTCCAAGGGAAGTGGCACGCTGGAAGCTGGGCCCCACCCAAGGAATTATGATTTAACGCGATCCAAGTTGCAAAAGTAAATGAATAAAAAGGACTGTGCCCCGTTGCAGTCTGGACCTACAGTATCCCAGATTAAAGCGAAAAAATGTCCCTTCATATCTGCAGTGTTCCGCCACAGAATGAGACATGTTGAAGATGTTCAGATGAAAATGGCCACAAGGACCTAAAAGACAAGCAACAGCTCCACAATAGATGCAACGCATTCCATGTTCGCGTCGGCAGTCGGACAGATTCTCCAGTATGTGTTCTGAGGATTAACACTGTGCTCAATGCGAACCTTTCATGACACGGCTGAGAATTACTAAAGCACAAACAAACGCAATACTTAAATAACTGGAGAAACACTGCATGCACTACTTGTGCATTAAAGTTGTGTCAGCAGATAAGAACGGACTGATGATCATGTTGCCTGTTATGGAGTTTACCTGCTTGCACCTATTTTTACATTTTTACATGATTTCCTGGTCCCCGTCCGTCTGTTGCACGTCTTTGTCTCTCCCTTTGCATTGTGGGTTGCGGGTTTCCCAGCTTTCCTCTGTGCACCTGTTTGACCCGCGAGGCCTCCAGCTGCCGATACGCCCCCACGCCAACCTTCACCAAGAAAACTCCCCGTTCATTGCTGTTTTTCTGCATGTGCGTTGGGCTCTTTCTGCTCGGCGAGACTAAACTCAACAACAGGCTCAGTGGAGCGAGCAGTTTGTCAGCTAAAATGCAGAAAGTACAGTATTCTGCAAACTAGACGATCACCCAGGCGTGGCCAGCAAACTGATGAGCACCATGTGGGGCAGAGGGGGGATGTCGAGGTGCGTCAAGATAAACGCTCTGCGCTCTCAGGTGTGACACACGGGCGGAAGCCAAAGTGGATCCTCAGAATGTGGAATTAGGAACCTCCAGCATGTACAAACAGAGGTTTGACTGCGAGTGCGTGTGCATTTTTTGTGCACATTTTTTTGTGCACATTGAACACGTCGGAATGATTCAACACGACCCACTTCACTCATTTTACCCGAGCTACGAGTTACCTCTGTAACTCAGTTGTTGTTGTTGTAAGTACGTATATGTGTCCTTATTTGCACCTATCGACACCTGTCCTGTGGACACACGTTGTATGTATGCACATCCCTCAAATGTGCAGCGCTACATGATGCATTTGTGTATTTACTATTGGCTTGAGAATTAGTTCAACACTATGAGGAATGTGGAGCCAACCATGTCATTTTACACACTTTACATTTGCAAGTTACAATGCTTTTGTTTAAAGTAAGTTGATATTGAGGGAAGACATTTGGACTTACAGAATCTGTGGTTGTTAATTATTCATAATATCAGCTTTCACGCTGTAGCTGCTGTGTGAAAAAGGCACAATTCATTAGAAGGCTGTAAAATAGAAAAATAGCCCCCCACTCTTCAAACAGAGTGGTGTTTGTGTTTGTCTTTGGAAACTTTACCGTATGAAACTGCGTGCAAAGCAAAAATGACAGTTGTTTCCTCGGCAGAGGGAAGCTTAACTGCAGATGGAGATGCGTTGCTATGCAACTGGGATTTCAAAAATACTTTCTGCACCGGGGTCACATTTCAACGTCTGTCTCCACCAGCTTGGCAGCTGATGACTTCTCATAATGCTTTTTTTAAAGCTTCTCATTTGCAAACCTCCAAATGTGAACATTCTATGGTTCTGTATGATGTGGTAAGATTGAATATTATTCCCAAAATGAGAGGAAACTTGGGCGTTTTTACTCTGGTTCGACTGAATCCGACATTACTATTCCAAAGGCAAAACGTAGCGGCACGGCACATATTCATGCTGAAATTATGAACTGCCATCAATCATATTGCCGACCCACCCATTTAAGATGAATCAAACGTTGATCCTGAGAGGATCGGCTCAATCCTGCAAGACCTTCCTGTTTCTAATCGTCTCATTTACTACGGACCAAATACATTGTTTCCAAAGTACGGCCCTTTTTTCTCATGAACCCCTTCAGGCTTGCTCCTATTCCTCGATTTAAAAAGGGAATCAAGTGCATGTCATACACAATATGTTCATTGTGTCACCTGAAAGATTTGCATTATCGTTGCATCAGTATTTGCAATGGTCCAGGGATTTTAAATAGCACACCTTCCTTCCTGAGCGCAAGTGCAGTCCCTTAATGTATCGTAAGAAAGTCGCCCTTGTTCGGCCCCCTCAGCTGCAAACATCCTGAAGATGTAAATGACAGGTCACCCTACTCAAAAACAACAACGAATGGTCAAGTCAGAGCAGTGAGCTGCTTCCCCGAGCTTCCACAGCCCGCTGACCACATCAAACCACATCAAACCCCCTGGAACCACAACGCAGCGCGCAGCTCGCACACGCCTGCACCGCTCACCAGCGGAGGCCTGATGGGAGAACCAGAGGTCAGCTGAGCAGGGCGGACGCAGCCTCCTGAAGTCCAGTCACGGAATGACCGGGAAACAGGAAACACAGTCATTGTGACGGGAAGTTCCACAACTGCATCGAAACAACACGCGACATCACACGGACGGCCACACAAACGTTCCAGAGGCTGTCAGCAGGTTACAACACTGTGGAAAAAGGTACCAAAAAAATAAACAGACGCAAGGGCGCCATGCAGCTGTCAACAACACAAAACAGACGCCAAGTTAGTCCCTTTGATACCATCGCGATGAATTCTTTCTGAACAAAATGGCTGCAGGCTGGAGTGACAGCTCACTGTAACAGTGAGATGTTTAACCTCTAGGTGGCAGTGTCCCCTTCTCCATCGAAGTAAATGGACAACCCCCACACACACACACACCTCACTAGTTTCTTCACACGAGGCTAGAGCTGTCACTGGGAGGACTGGTGCAACATCAGGCATCTAAATCCCGGCATTGGTTCACATCCAACGATGCTGTCAGGTGGAAACGTTAAATGTCAGTTTACATCATGAAGAAACTCCATTAGCCCCGCACAGAGCAGAACCTACTGTTCAGCTAAATTGATAATGGCACATTTAATTAGATTTAAATGATGGCACTCGTTCATGGACACGAGGCTCCGTGTGGAAATGTCAGGACGAGTCAACACGCTGAGGTGTCCTTAAACGGGACATTTCAGGCTCATTTTTGACTTTCTGCTGGAAAATGACCCAAAATATCCCTGAATTCACCACATTATCTTATATTATCTGAGTCCCTTTTTAAAGCGGATTAAAGGCTCATAATTGTGCAGAATCATTACATAACTGTACGGTGCACATTCAACAAGTGGAGTTAGTCAACATACGTGTGGAGCATTTCATGTGTTAACACGTGTGTGCAGGAGGAGAGTCTCCTCTATTGGTCTGATCATGAATAATAAGTAAGTTAGTGAGTTCTTTCATTCATTACAAAGTGGTTCACACTAGAAAATATGAAAACATGTATCAAGTATAGATGTGTTCCAAAGGTCGAATTCACTTCAACACTCAAATATTAGTCTTAGTTCTGTGTTTTAAATCTTTAAATAGAAAGAACCTTTTTCTATTTTCTCTTATTTTTTTTTATTATTTCTGTTTTCTTCTTCCTTTTTGTGACTGAGTGAAGGTAAGGGTATGTATCCATGTCCGTGCCAGCAATTTGTGCTGATCTGATCCTTGATAAATAAAAAAACAAGAAACCAACTGAAAGAGGGAGACGCGCGATGTTCTTTCTCTTGAGAGCGACAAGTCTGCCTCCTGCCAAATGACACTGAATGATTCACAGAACACTTCCTGTGGGGCTGTACAGATGATTTGGGGATTTTAATTATTTCAAGCCATTTCTGATTTAGAGGGTTAGTAAATAAAAACGCCTTTTACATCAACAGGCTCATTTTTCACAGCTAATACACGTGTGTCAACGCAAAGCCAAACGTATCCACGTTCGTATCTGCTCCATTTGTGTGTCTATTCATAGCACCTTGATGTCAATGAATTAGTTCTTCTTAATTCTTAATTGCACTGCAACACAGTATTATTGCAATCAGTCTAACAGCTTTTGTTTGTACACTTTGGTTAATTATACAGGCAGGGCAAACCTGCAACTTCAAATATGCTTTTAACAGACTCAACTTTCTTGTTTGGGCATTTTTTAAATTTAAAAATATACTGTATTTATCAGAAATGACATGAATTTGTTTGCAGAGCTCAGCCATATACAGAAACCTGTCTTTGTATTAACTGAGCAGCAACATAATTGTGTCTTCGCTACATGCACTATGTACAGCTGCCGGCTCTCAGGTCAGTAGTTTGGAGCAATTTGCAGGCGCCAAACTTCCCCCTCGACACTCAACAGAACCAGTGCGCAAAAGAGGGAGTGATGTTGCACTTGTTGGATCCGTGCATATCTGATGTGTTCCACAGTTGTCAGTATGCACGGTGCTCCGGATCGGGACCTAATGGAGTCTGTGGTACCCGCGTGCTCTTTGAAATAGTTCTTTTGAAGCAGACACTACAAAAAGGGGATGTTCCAGCGCGTATTTCCAGGCACTTTCTCTCAACTCCAGTTCAGATGGGCCCACATTTGGAGCAAGCCGATGTTTCAGTCGTCAGCCCTTGATGATTCGTTATTAAAAAAGTGAGAGCATGTGATGGTGAGCACAATTCTTAAGTGTCTTTTTGTAATTTGCTCTCTAGCTGCCAGGCTCCACGTCCATGGGAGACATCACACAGCCGACTACCGCTGCTTGAAATCCCCACGAGTCACCGCCTGGAAGCCTCCCGCCCAATGACGTCTTTGTACATTTGTCATTTCGTCCCATCTGTCCGTTGAGCCCGACGATGAAACGCGCGAGTCCGCTTGAGGCCTGAAACCTGCATGACTTCATGCATGCAGTAAATGATCATAATGTGAACATCTTGTTTTCCTCGCAGCACGCAAAGTATTTAACTTGATTGAGACTTATACAATAAAGAAAAAAGAAAAACTTCAAATGAATTCACATAAAAGACACAAATAAAGCTGAAAGCCACCAAAGAATTAATAAAATGTTCATTCCGAGTTGCTGAAAGAAATTCAGTTCTCAAATGATCCGTATTCATGTTTTCTAAATGTTAACGTAAGGATTATGACATTGTTTGCTCGCTTCTGTTAACATCAGTAAACAGCATACAGCGATGATACATATGTACAATATCACCATGGTCCATCTATAATAGAAGTGTCCGTACCTAAAAAGAGCGAAGAAGGGGAAAGGCGTTCCAGGGTTAGAGTTTATGATCCCTGAGCAGACTCTCCATCACTTCCACCGCCGTGTCCTTTAAATGAAATACGATTCCGGGTCACACTGCAGAAACACGAACAAATCAGTCACGACTCACTCGGGTCCCATTTTCCATTTTCTATCCGTGTGTCTCTCTCCCGCTCACACACACACACACACACACACACACACACACGCGTAGTTCTGAGATAATCACACACGTACACACGGCCGAAGCACATGGTCATTGCTCTGCCCGGCGCGCACGTTTCCACAGATAATCCTTTGATCTGAGGCCTTGGTTTTTGGGCAGCGGCCTTGAGGTGCGATGGAGCTCTATTATTCATCGAGTGTCACGGGGCCCACAAGGGGAGGGAAGACACACCTCCTCTCACTGGACTCATTGCTTCGGCAGTAACGTCTCTCTGATCATTGTTTTAGCAATAATAACAAGGTATCATAAGTCAAAGTGAAAATAATGTGAAAGGCATCAACCAGCGGATAATAATCCCTCAACCTCGCCTCGGGGAGCTCAGGGTTTAACTGCTCCAGCAGACAGGTACTATTAGACGTGATAGAGGGGCAGATAAAAAGCAAGATGTGTCCATCAGTAGTTGGTACAAACCAAAAGCCCAGTTTATAGAGATTAAATCATTTCACTCGCATTTTAAATAAATTGTAACGTTCCTCCGCAGGTGCTGGATGTGTAGATAAGCAACTGGTTGCTTAAAACGTATATCATATTTTTTGTGTGAATTGGAATTTCTATTTAATCCCTCGCATGCAAAATAATTTAAATTCTTACTTTGATGCAATAATTTGACCCAGCTGTTGCCTATGAGGGGCCGTGTAGGACTTAACTACTGAGACACTCTTACGCATACCAATGAAACACTCGTGCGCATCTCACTGGTGTGCGTGAGTGAAATCTCATGAGTGAAATCTCACTGGTGTGCGTGAGTGAAATCTCACTGATGTGCGTGGAAGGCGAAAGCAAAGAAGGCGGGTTTTGAACAGCGAAAAGCGCCAATCTTACGTCCTTCCTTAATATGCTTTTAAGTCCGGACTCGCCGTCTTTATGTAGGTCCAAGGTTATAAATACTACCATATTTAAGTGACGGAATGTAATTTTAGGACTTTTTCAGACTGGAAGTTAGTTGTTTAAGCAACATTTCTGCTGCCGGTTTATCAACATTCAGCCTTCGTAACAATTTGCTCCGAAGATGCTGGAGATGTGAGGTCTAGTTAACGGGACAATCTGACTCCTCCAGCACCGGGCGGTCAGCTCATCTCACGCCGCATAGAGCAGCCTGAAATTGCTGTAAATAGTAGTCTGACAAACACTTGGCGCTATGCTAGCTAACATGGCGTTAGCTAGCATAGCGCTAACATGGCACTAGCTAGCATTGCACAAGCAATAACAAGACCAAACAGCTGACAAGTTGAATTCATTTCAGCTGTTTTCATTGCAGCTTTTCTAATATCTGTAATTTCAGCAAATGTATTGAAATTCCCTTCAAATTTCTGCAATTTCAGCAATTTTCTGAAGTTCATTTCAGCTTTCAGCTTTTTGCATTCCAACGCATTTTCAGCAGGAAATTCCTTTTCTAGTTTAAAATGCTTTCCCTTTGCCCTTACATTTTATTTTCAAACATCTCATATCCTTAAGGTTTTTATTCGTCTCCATAGAATCTCTTTAGGTTTAAACTAAACCTCTGTGATTGCAAATAATTATAATTATCATAATTGCAAGTAGAGAAAAGTTGGGGAAAAGAAGAGGAAAGTATGAATGAAATTCATCTTCTGACCAGACAGCAGATCTTTAACGAGGCCTGAAATATCTCATCTGAAGGGGGTTTTATTGGGCAGATTTTCCAGGTCTCACCAGTCACACACTGGCACAATAAAATGTGCAGGAGCGAAAACCGTGCTGTAAACACAATTTGGAGGATGATCTCACTGTCCATTATCGGCTTGTCTTAGTTTCAGTGTTTCATCTAATATATGATATCAAATATATAATGAATGTATAAAGTTATACATTTGGCCTCAACCAATCTTTAAAAAACAGTTGCATGCACACAGTACGTCTTAAAGGAGAATTGATCCACTTACTTACTGTGGCTCAGGCAGATGAACCAACACCAACGTGGTCGCTGGTCGCTGACACCCCTGAGAGTGGTTGGATGGGACTAAGAAACAAAATATTTCTTTCCGCTGTGATACTAAACGTCTGTAAAAATACAAGGTGGTTTTGTTTCATGAAACTAACTTCCTGCGACATTTCTTTTGAATAAAAAGAGTGATAAAAGAATACGTGACACGTCGTCCTTGACAGAAGATCACCGACAGCTTCAGGACTTAAAGTTCGGGGCGAGTGTTTGTGATGTTATCCCATTGTTTTCCTCCAGTTTATCTAAACATATGTCAGCCCTGTGAGGCAGGGGACTTAAAATCTAATAAAAATAAGATACATTTATAAAAAGGTACCAGCAACGCCACCTAGTTGCGGAGTCTAGGTCTCCATAAAACAGGTTCTTGTTTACCAGAGGAAGAACAGCATGGATCACAAGACTTAAAAGCGTGGTTTAAAAGGAGGATTTTATTATTAACTAAAAACCCATAAATAACTACAATATTAAAAGTCCAGTTGGAACAAAGTACTAAAAGGATTTAAGAATTCGACCAGCCACTGCTGCTGGTCGGTCTTGCCCTTTCTTCTTGTTTCCGGTTCCGTTCCTTTCCTGGGTGAGGTGTCCAGTCCGTTTCGTTCCTCTCCCAGTTGCACCCTGCCTGCTCGTCCGTTGTCTGGCCGCCCTCTCGCTCGATTTCCCGTGGCTTCTCCTGCCCGTGGCTTCACCTTTCTGTGGCCTTCCTCCCTGTGGCTCCCCCCCGCTGTGGCCTTCCTGCCTGTGGCTCCCCTCTCTGGGGCCTTTATAGCAGCTGTGTTAATTGGAGAGGGGAGGTCCTTTCATTGTGTAATGTGGTTGGCCAGGGCTCTCTGTAATTGATTAGTCCCTCCAGGTGCATGTAATTTACTAAAAGGTGGGTTAATATGTAAAAAAATGTAATCAAACAAACCATGCAAAAATGTAATAAAACAAACCACGCTAAAATGTAAAATCAAGCCACGCTAAAATGCAAAACCAATAATTTACAGAAACCACAATGTCCCCCCTGCTGACACATACAGTATATAAAAATGCACGCTGTCATAAATAAACTCCTCTGATTTACTACCATTAGTAACAATTTACAATATAAGACCCGTTTGCTGAATAAAACACTGCACTGCGAGAGCATGACGTGATGGGCTAAACGTGGGCATCCACGTGTGTCTCTTCTTAATTACCTTTCTGAAATTGAGGCTGACACCGTCTAAGTTGTTTGAATTAAACGGCTGACTTATATTTGAAGGCTTTCTGATGAAATCCACCGTGCAGGAAGGTTTAACTCGAGAGACTTTCAGCAGCTGACGGACGGTGTGGTTGCCTGGAAACTGGTTTTGCCGTCGTCTCAGAACCGAGCTGCACAAATATAAACAGTTTGGTAACCGTAGTGATGTTGACAGCCAGCTACAACCATAATTATCCATAATTTTACCTATACGGACCAGTGCAGGAGCTGTACAAATCACATTGATCTTAATGAGTGGCCGCCCGTGAGACGAGGGACGCAGGGACCGTCTAGTGCAATGCAGAAAAACACATTTCAGAAATATTCTTCTATAACTTCACTATTATGAATGGTAGCACCCCCACAATAATTCCATAGGTCCATGGCATTGTACCTGTTCCACTACACGTTTTACTTGGTTTGAAAATGTCTTTTGACAATTTTCTATGAATAATATTCAACGTTTATTGCAAACAACGTTCAATAACTCCGCTGTTATGGACTCTAGAACCACCAAAATCATGTCATATGTCAATGGGCTTTCACCCATTGTACTACACCTTCTACTTCGTTTGACTTCGTTGTCTTTTGACTATTTTCTATGAATATTATTCAATATTTATGGCAAATAACATTCAATAACTCTACTGTTATGGACTGTAGAACCACCAAAAGCATAGCATATGTCCATGGGATTCTTCCTGTTGTATTACACCATTTACTTTGATAAAGTTTTCCATCCATCCATTGTCAAACCGCTTATCCTGCACACAGGGTCGCGGGGGGGCTGGAGTCCATCCCAGCCAACTTCGGGCGATAGACAGGGTACATCCTGGATTGGTCGCCAGCCAATCGCAGGGCAACACAGAGACACACAACCATTCACACTCACATTCACACATCTACGGGCAATTTAAAGTCCCAATTAACCTGATCCCCAGAGCATGTCTTTGGACTGTGGGAGGAAGCCGGAGAACCCGGAGAGAACCCACGCAGACACGGGGAGAACATGCAGACTCCACACAGAAAGGCCACTGGGCGGAATCGAACCCAGGACCTTCTTGCTGTGAGGCAACAGTGCTGACCACCACGCCACCGTGCCGCCCTTTGATAAATTTTTCCTTGGCATAATTTTAATTAACTTAATTCTAATGCAATGTAGTGCGATTACATTTTGAATTAATATACGCACAAGATCTTATATAAAATAAATTTTTCTCCTTAAAATATGTGACCCAGCTGTCATTGGATAAAGTCTGCTAGTATCATTGGTTTGGTCAAAATAG